ATGCCAAAGGAGAAATGAAGAATGCAAAGCGCACTTTGGGTTATAAATGAGGAATAATAATCATGACGCCTCAATTTTCATTACGGTTTGGATCTCACGCGCCTCATTAAATTAGGATTTATGATGGTCAGAGAAAGTGAATCTCTTAGGAGAAACCGAACTCGATTTGTAACCAGAATTGAAGGCCGGATTTTAAATATGTTCGTCAAAGAATAAACCCTTTCACCAAACTGAGGGGGGGGGGCTAAAGTCGGTGAAAACTCCCTAAATGAATAAGGTAAATTTCCACCTTCGACCTAGAGAAATGGAAACTCTCTAGTAACCCATATCGAGAAGAAACCTCATCTAAGACCGACTTAGATGACATATAAAAAAGAGAGGATTCGTCACCAAGAAGACACACAAGAATCCTGAGAGACCTAGAAATTGAGAGCTAAAGATATTCCGAGCATCTTGCTCTTTAAGTCGCAGTTTGTTTGTAACCTACTTACAAACGAACTCAGTTGTATTTTCTGCGATCTGATATCAATAAAAACCAAACTTTGATCTAAATTACTGTTTTACCCCTTTGTGTGATATTACATATCAACAGATACTACACCCTGTAGTAACAGGATCACCTCATGTGGATTGAAATTGGGTCAACAGAGGTATATAGTTCTGAAGATATGGTGGATTATGCACTGCAGGTTTGTGAGGAGTGTTTGGCACGAAGGAGGATCAGAGCCTGGTGAAGGGCGTCTGGTACCGCAGGAGCATCCGATCTCGGTGAAAAGCGTCTGATTCTGCATGAAGCATCTGAGTTCGGTGGGAGGTGTCTGGTTCTGCAGTGAGCACCTGAGCCCGGTGAAGGGCGTCTAATTCTGCATGAAGCATCTGAGTCCGCTGAAGGGATTCTGATTCTACATGAAGCATCTGAGCCCGGTGAAGGACGTCTGATTTTACATGAAGCATCTGAGCTCCGTGAGAGGCGTCTGGTTCTGCAGGAAATATCTGAGCACTGTGAGGGGAGTCTGGTTTTGCAAAGAGCATCTGAGCTCGTTGTGGGGTCTCCAAAGAAAAATTCTGGTGCTAAAAGAGTATCTGGTCCGAAGAGACGTCTGGTCTAAATGGTGTCTGGTCCATAGGGACATCTTGTTCTCTGAGTACATCTGGCACCATGACAGCGCATTTGGTATGTCTGATATGAGAAATGCTTGGTACATCTGGCAGAAAAGGTGCATGTTGTACATTCTAGGGCAAAGGAGAAGTCCGGTATATCTGGCACCGTGATGGTGTATCTGGTACGTGTTGTACATTTTGAGGCAAAGGATAAGTCCAATATACCTGTCACCGTGATGATGCATCTGATACATCTGTCTGGAGGATTCAAGTCAAGGAAGAGATTTGTTGATATGCGTTGAATCTTGAAGCATAGAAGCTTGCTGGCATTGATGTGTGCAGGCTGCACGATCAAGCATGCAGGATGCTTGCAGTATATTGAAGCCTACATGCTTCATCTTGAAGTTTATACACTGCATGTGGAAGTTTACACGTTGCACGCTGAAGCTTACAAGTTGCACTTTGAAGTTTACAGTTTCTTTAAGTAAACGGTTGAGTGCAACTGCCTAGTGAATCTTGCAAGCTACTGAAGCTGATGTTGATATCTACATGCTACGTAAGCTGATGTCAAATATTACAACTTCCATGAGCTATGCAGAAGTCTGCATGCAGTTAGGCTGCTATTGTCAATTGAAGGTTTCTACATGGGCTTAAGTGAGCAAGTCCAATTGCGATTAAAGTTAACTAAGATTTTCTGTTATAAGTAACTGTATTACCCTAATTTCTGATGTATTTTGAAACTTGGTGTCTCTGTAATAAAATTAATCTCATTTGCCCGTGAACATAGCCAATACCTTGTTGGTGAACCACGTTAATTTTGTGTATGATCTTTAAGTTTTCTGTTTTCTTCTTGCATCTGTTACAGCACTAGGTTTATCAAACCCAAAGTGGGTTCCATAATGAGAGATGTTTGCATGAGAACTACAAGACATATCTGGCACCCACTCACATGATGTTTCATAGAAAATGGGTTTTCTATAAGTTGTTCTCTTATCTATTCACACTTCTCCAATTAGGGCACTATCTCCATTTGAGACAAGAGTTACACCACACTCATAAAACTTCAATGGAAAGACACGATTTTTGGATGAAGCACACTCATATTTGATAGTATCATTTCTTTTGACTAAGATCTTTATTCACACAAAGGTTGGACAACTTGAAATCCAAATTCTTATATTACTAAGCACAATGGTGACATGTGGCAAGGCTTTACAACAATTAACGATAAAAAAATATAAACATAAAACAAATTGCAGAAAAAAAATCTCAAATAATAAATTCTTAATTTTTTTCCTCAATCTGAAACCCCTAAAATTACTCCCTCTATTCCATGATCTCATCACATCCAACTTCCTTTCTCCTACATTAACGATAAACTACAGTTGTCGATCCACTTAAACAGTTGGAGGTCTCTGGCTATTTTCTTTTCCATGGTTTTTGTGATAAGATGCATCGAGTATTACATATTTTGTAAGCAGACTTTTAATATCTAATAAAATGCATTTTATGTGCAAAACCTCGCTTTTCAAGATACTAGACCTTGTCCGGGTTAAAAAAACTCAAGACTAAGGTACGAGTTGAAAAGTCTTAGCCTTTGCTCGAAAGACATGATATTGGGAATGGTCTAGCCAAGGCGGTATGGGACGTTTTGGCTAGGTTCTCTCCGTTATCAATTTGTAGCATTCTGAGTTTTTTCTAAGTATAGATCAAACCATGGGTGTTACCAATGATGGGAGACTAATCTTCTTTGCAAGAGGATTAAAAAGAAGATACAAAACCCATATCATTGAAAGAGAAAGGAAAAGAAACACAAAATCATTACATGGAGACAACAACGGTGTCTAAAATTGATTGGTGGAGAAAAGTGTTTTTAAAACCCAAATTTTTTTGATAAAGGAGACATGATGTGACACACAAACTATAGTGGAAACGGGACACCAAAATACTTGCTCAAGGTAGAAACCAAGAAACACACTTGTCACTGAACGATGAACAAGTTTGTGACTGGTGTAGGTAAATGTTTGGGAAAATTTTAACTGATTCGTACGTGAATAGTTATACGGAATGACTGGAAGGAGTAAGCTTTTATTAAACAATGAATATCGAGTTACAATGAATCAATATAAAAGATTTAAATAATCTGGTATTGTCTGTCGCTCGCTCGCTATTCATAGTTAACTGGCAAAGAACGAAGCTACAATGATGTCTGGTCGCTCGATTCTCTGTCGCTGTTATACCTAGCTCTTAAAGTAGAGCTTTTATGGTTTTTAGCCGTAAGTTTTTGTATATACGTACTTGCTCCAGGACTTCTTTATTTATAGGTTTATTTCAATTTTAATCCTTATTGGATTAGGCTTTTTATGATTGTCTCTCCATAATTCTCTTTGAATTAGGAGCTTATGTCGGTCAGTCGCTCCAACTCACAAGAATGTAAACCAACGACTTATATTTAACCAATGATCGATGCTAAACCGATTGACAAATACGAATGGTCTATGTTGAGACTCTCTCACTAGTGCATGTTTGTCACTCCTATTTTTTCAACAGGTACATGATCACAGTGACTATTCGTCACTCTTTCTCTCTTAGCAGTGACATGATCATAGTGACCGTTCGTCACTCCTTTTCTCTTAGCAGTGACATGATCACAGTGACCGTTCGTCACTCCTTTTCTCTTAGCAGCGACATGACCGCAGCGACCGGATAGTGAATTAATTTCACCCAACAATAAAGATGGAACATTCCCTTACCAGAATGTATCTAGTGAGACCGTAGATTCTAAAGATCGTTCACTGTAGCTTCTATATATCTTTCAACGTAGATTATCAAAAATCAAGACACAAAAGGTAAGTTATATGGGACAACAATGGTGTCTGATATTATCGGAGTGGTCAAGGAAAGCGTGTTAAAAAGGATAGAATTTTTGATGAAGGAGACATGATGAGACACATAAACTCTAATGGAAACTAGACACAGAAACACACTTTGCAAGATATAGAAACCAAGAAATACACATGCCCCTGAACGACGATCAAGTTTGTGATTGGTGTAGGTAAGGTAAAGATGGGACATTCCCTTATCAAAATGTAGACACTGAGACCGTAGATTGTAAAGATCTTTCACTGTAGATTCTACAGGTCTTTCATTGTAGATTCTCAAGCAGCAAGACACAAAAGGTAGGTTACATGGGACAACAATGGTGTCTGGTATTTTTGGAGTGGTGGAAATAAGCGTTTTAAAAAGGAAAGAATGTTTTGTGGAGGAGACATGACGAGCACTTTACGCAAGATAGTAACCAAGAAACACACATGCCACTGAGCAAAGATGAAGTTTGTGATTGGTGTAGGTAAGGATGTTTCATTCCCTTACCAGAATGTGAGACTGAAGATTCTAAAGATCTTTCACTACTGTAGATTTTATAGATTTTTCACTGTAGATTCTAAAAAAGTGAAACACAAAAGGTATGGGATAGCGATGGTGTCTGAGATTTTCTGAGTGGTGGAGGAAAGTGTTTTAGAAAAGAATGAATTTTTGATGAAGGAGACATGATAAGACATATAAACTCTAGTGGGAACGGAACATAGAAACACACTTTGCGCAAGATAGAAACCAAGATATACACATGCCACTGAGCGACAATCAAGTTTGTGATGATTGGTGTAGGTAAGGATGGAACATTCCTTTACTAGAATGTATAATCTTTATTGTGTGCGTGTGTAAGATGTGATGTTTGTTGCGCTTTGGGCTTGCGTTAGTTCGTCGTTAGATGTGTGATGAATATAGTGAGCTTTAAAGTACAAACTCACTAAGTTCACCTCTCTCTCATTGTGGAAACTTTTATCTTCAGAAATGATAATGGTATCTGAACTTGAAACGATATCTTGCGCTTTTTAGTCAATACAAGTGACACAGTTTCCGGTAAGTAGGAGGCGGGTGTTGCACTAATCATCCTCCAATTATATCACATACACCAAAAAACCTAATTCAACTACAATCTTGAAAACGAAAAGCAAATTCTACTACTAATACGCTCGTATTCCTATTTACTTTAGATCAAAGATTGAACACAACCTATATACAACGCATCGACAGTACATATCCTTTGTAATCTACAACCCAGACATGTTTCTCATAGATGTTACATAGACAAACTATTTCCCATCGAAAAAGAAATGTAATGTAGACTGCGTCTGCTTGGATTTTTTTATGTTAGACTTACCTTTTCCTTGCTTTTTTCCTTGTTTCCCACAGCTTTGAACGTCTTGCAACATTTCAGAGTGCTTTTTTGGCTTTTCTGGAGCTGAGAATACCTCGTACTCTCGCTTCTTCTCACTCCTTCCTGATGACTTCTCCGCCAACCTTACTACGTCACTTCCCTTCGTGGTCTCGAAAGTTATAACCGTTTCATTTTCATTTCCTGATTTTTCTTGAGTAGCGTTATCCGGAAACTCAACCTGATTCATTGCCTCAATTTTAGTAAAGCGATGGCCTTGAGTCTCATGTTCCTCATTTGAGATTCTTTGGAGATCAAGGTTGCTCTCATCTGTTACTTTACTAAGAGCAGTCTTTATGGATTTTCCTTTTGTATCCTCCTCAACTTCATTTTTTACAGATTCGAGACGCAGTACAACAGCTGAGTTATCTTCCATCAATGGTTCTGCTTTCGCAATGTTTTGAAAACCCAGATTTTTGGCTTCATTGGATTTATCTATCTCCTCATCTAACTCCTCACTTTTCTTATTGCAGTTAGAAAAAAAGGCCTCGTCATAACCTTCAACCTTAGGTTTCTCTTTCAAATCAACTGGAGTATCTGCATCTGTCGATTTGGTTTCTCTGTCTCCTTCATCTGTATTGGGATGCTTTGCTGAGAAAAACTTTGAGATCAAGCTGTTTTGCGAAGCCTTTAGCGGTATCTGCAAGTGGCAGAATCCTTAAATACTTCTAAAGAATGATAATAAGCGTAAAAAGTGTACGAAAAACATAGCTTGCTTTAAGAGATTTGAGAGGGTTCCAAGTGAGAATATTTTTTTATCGCGATTTGAGATGCCGCTTAAGACCTTGAGTTGTAAACTAACAAAGGAAAACTGGTTAATCGTACCTGCTGAATACACTCTGGTCCATCAAAACATAATTTACCAATCGCAGAGGTTACTGGATACCATACCTGAAAGGTTAATCAGGTATCAGGTATGAAGAAAGAAATACCAGTATTACATAGACACGAAGAACTAAGTAAGTTTACCAAATCTGAGTTTTCATATGGTACAAGTAATGGCTTCAGATTCGACGTTGATGGACCATCTAACCATGTGTCGACTGACTCCTTGTCATTCAGAATAACTGGCATCCTGTCTTCAGTGAAAAACAAACAAACTCACATGTCAAGGAAAGTAATGAAAAGCTGTTGTCCTTATTAATCTAACACTACATCGTATAAACAGGTCTTTGTTCATCTCAGTTAAGATTCTGATGCAGTAGGCTAGAGTATACAATTGTATCGATTTGAAAGGAGTTTATCAAATTAGATGTAACAAGAAAACAGAAACAGTTCAATACTTGTGTAATACTTGAACTTCATATCTAAGTTAATGTGTTGGTTCGATCAAAGTTACTTTTGTACAATGAGGGATTCAAGCCAAGGGTCCATAAAAAGATATAAGAGGAATATAAATTATCCGATTGGACATGTTATGTGTTCCATTATGCCACTAAGAATCAGTAGGGAACATGAATAAGAAAACTGATTTCATTTGAGGGGTTGAAAAAAAAAATCTCACCCGCTATAGCTAATGTATTTATTACTCACCATGGAGCCAATCCAGGGCTGACGATGACGTGGTTGTCAAAATCGTGAAAGTGTCAAGTGTCTCACCTGCAAGCAAAAAGTAACTGTTAATTTCTAAATTCAAAGCGGGCAGGAGATTTAAGCTACCAAAAAGGACCAAAAACCAAAGATCGAATTCATCTCAAATGTCGCTTGGATTTTCCAGTACATAGACCTTAAGATTTCCTTAGTACATGCACCAGAGGCAGAGAATGATTATGCAGAGGTTAAAAGAGATGAAAACTGTAAGCAATTACTAGGTAGCAATTACAAAAGATTGAACTATCCAACATCTGCCAAAAGGTTACTGGGAAGTCTAAAAAATGTTTCATAATCAATAAATGCTTCAAAATGAATTTAGACAGAGCTTAAAAGAAAAAAGATGAACATTTCACCTCCTGAGTTCTGCCAAGAATCAAAAAGAGCAGCAAATACCAACGGCCTCCTATCGTTAAAATGAATGTAGTAGGGTTGCTTTTTAGAACCTTCCTTTTTCCACTCATAAAACCTTCAAAACGAATCTCAGTGTTAGTGTTTTTAATAATTTCAGAAGTTAGTTGAAAGTTTTTCCTAGTTTTGTGATCCCAAACCCATTGGCTCAACAGTCAACATTGATAAACGGTAGGCAGAGTATGAAGATATGAATATAACAGCAGATAAAATGGATCCAAACATTCACAAATGATATAATCCAACAGGTAAGAGAGTTTACTAAATAGAAATCTATTAAGAAACCATTGTTTTGGGGTTGTTCACAGAAACAAAAGTCAATAACAAGTTAACAACACTTCAGCCTTCAGATCACAGAGACAAAAGAGTAACCATGAAATTATAAAGACAGTAACATGGCTGAATAAAAACATTATTCTAAGCACCTTCGCACACAAATTGACCAGGGATTATAATTCTAAGCTTAGAAGAGATAATAAATACCCATCAACTGCAACAAGGCACCTATTCTTGGGAAGCAATCGACGAAAAGACGCTTTCTCAGCCACCGATTCAGACCGAGCATTGAACTGTAAAATATGTAATAAAATAATTTCACTAAATTATTTCCCCCAAACAAGAAACAAAATCCAAAAGAAAATTCCTAAAGCAGAAGTTGTAAAGTATACCATTTTAAAGAAGTCTGGCTTATCAGTTTTCTTAGTGAAACTGGGGACTAATCCCCACTTCATACAGTGGACAGCAATACCATCATTGTCTCTCCGCAGAACCGGCATATAAGTTCCCGGTGCAACATTGTAAGATGGACGATAACTGCTTTACAACAAATCAACAATGTTCAGACAGTCCAGTGGCTCAAAATGGAAATTAAAATCGACAAGAGAGAAAATACCGGTCGAGGTGTAGAAAACGGGCAGGAACGCCATGGCGATGAGACGCCCTTGGCACATCGTCAGGTCTCAAAGTACAGCGAGCCCTACCACACATCTTCCTAAGTTCGTCTGCAGAAGCAAACCCTAACTGGAACGGACAATTAGAGCACGCAATTGACGGATATGGCTGTTAAGCCCAGAAATGGAACTTACAGTAATCAACAGAAATGGAAGTTTAAGAGAAGGAAGACCTAGAGAGAACTAGAAAAGAGAAGGAGGGAGATTACGGCAACAACGACATAGAACCGTAATAGACAATGAGATAATGACGGCCTATTGGGCCATAAGCCCAGCAGTACTCAACTAAATATTCAACATAGCCCATTAATACGTTCTCTCTTATACGCTAATACTCGTGGATGCTAAAATCCCACACAAGTTAACACTTGTCCTTTAAAATATTAATTAAAAAATATTCCTCACGCCTAGGGTTGAAATTATTATCCGTATCTGGTCTTCGATCCGGTATTCGATCCTATCCGATCCGTAAAAATTAAATATTTGTAGAGTTCCGATCCGGATCCAGATAATGAAATTAAGTATTCGATTATTTCGAATACGGATCCGGATAATAGAAAATTTTGAAATCAGATATCTGTTATCCGTTTATTAAATATTTATTTATTTTGATAATATTTATTAAAATTTATATTACATGATAACACGTGAATATATAAAAATTGATAACACATGAATATATGAAAATTGATAACACATGAAAATTGATGACATGATCTAAAAGAGCATTCAATATGGGCTTGCAACGTGTATGTGTAATTTTTTGAATTGGAATTAAGATGAAGACTCTTATTTATAATGCAGCTTCCCCTTCTCAATTATCCAAGTTTGTCGATGTGGGACAAACCAAAAACCAAACTTTTTAAAAAATTGTCATGGATATTTATGGGCTTCAGTTCAAGATTTTTTAATCTATTTTCTTTTTTCAAGTGATTTAAATTTTATTTTCAAATTAAAAATATAATTAATTTTAATGCAAGTGAAAAAAATATGATATTGAATAGATTAAGAAGTTTCAAATAATCATATATAAAACTCCAACTAATAAAATTATAAACACACAAAAAATATTTAATAAATGATTAAAGAGATAAAAGTTATTAAAAATAATAATATAAAGAAAAGTTTCCACATAAAAATGTCATACATAGTTTTTTCTAAATAAAAAAAAAAGATGGAATCAATAAAATTGAAAAGTTAACAAGTATTATATTAGTAAAATTTACAAGAATTAAAAAAATATGAAGATCAAATAACAAATAAATATGCTTCTCTGATATTCAACGTATATTTATAGGTGAACTATTACGTTTTCATACAAAAATTAAAATAGTAGATTTTTAATCCCTTATTATCTTTTTTTTTTGTCAACAGCCTAAGTACCTACGAGGACATAGAAATCCAGTTTGGAGGTACTGAGTTTACATAGATCATGTCTTGAGGGTAGACTCGAACACTGCGTGCTAGGAGATCTGTCTTCATATTCTTCGCTCGTGGAATAAAGGATATAGAGAAGGAAGTGAAAACCCCTTTACTCCTCTCAAATTCTTCTAGGTGTAATCCAAACACTGGCCACTCCTCTGGTATAGACACCATCTTCACCAACTCGGAGCAGTCTGTGACGAACGCTACCTCCATCTTGTTGTTTGCTATCATACAATGCATCGCCCAAATGAGGGCTTCCAGCTCTGCATGTAGCGGAGATAAGCTTCGCCTGACATTTCTTGCACCCATAACAACCTCTGCATTGCCTTCTTTGCACGAATACCAACCTAAACCGGAAGCTTTTTCTGTTTCCGTCCAGGATCCATCAGTAAAACATCTCCATCCTGCATACTGCGTGATAACTCGATCCATAATTCCGATATTATTTCCAACCTGTTTCTCCTCCTTTTGTGCTTCGTTCCAGATACTTGCTTCTGTTTCCGCAATCTTCAAAGTTATTTGTGCATCTCTGTCAATATTTGAATAAACCTTATCTTTTCTTGCTTTCCAAATGTACCACAGGATCCATGCAAAATCTGTTGTTTTGTATTCCTGGGGGATTCTCCAAAATAGATGATCAAAATTTGCATAAACCGATGAGATTGGAAAGACATCCAAGGGTGTTGGGATCTTTGAGAGAGCCCAGATCTGCCTTGACGGAGGGCATTCAAATAGAATATGATTTGTGGTTTCTTCTTCCGTTCCACAACGAGCGCACAAAGTGTCACAGTTTATTCCTCGCTTCTTTATGTTTGCCAGTACTGGTAAACAGCCCGATAGTGCTTGCCAAATGAAATGTTTCAATTTTGGTGAGCACCGTAGTTTCCAGATGTGTGCCTGTAGTGGCTTTATCTCTGGACCATAGTAAATTTCCATACTGTCCTCTGATTTTTGTTGTTCTACCTGGTATCCAGATTTAACCGTATATCTACCTGATTTCGTGAAGTGCCATCCTAGTGTATCAGGTCGATAGACACGACTCGTGGGTATCCCGCGAATGATTTCCACATCTACTGGATCAATGATGGCACTAAGCAATTCTAGGTTCCAAGTTTGAGTGACCGGGTCAACCAGATGATTGACCATTAGATTTGGGTAGTAGTTAAACCCTTTACATGTGGCTGGCCTCGGGCGAGAAGCTGGTATCCAAGGGTCATTCCATACTGAGATCGAACACCCTGAGCCAACTCTTTTGATTAGTCCTGTTTGAACCAGAGGTCTAGCCGATATCATGCTCCGCCACCCATAAGAAGGGGTGTAAGAGCGAATATTATCCAGTGGATTTCCGTTTCGATAATATCTTCCTTTGAAGACCCTTGCAAATAAAGAGTCCGGTTTGTCCAATAATCGCCAGAATTGCTTTGCGAGTAGTGCCGTATTAAAGTCCTCTATTGATCGAAAACCCATACCCCCTGCGGTCTTATGTCGACACATTTTCTTCCAGGCTAACCAATGTATTCCTTTTTGTTGGCCGTTCGAGCTCCACCAATATCGGGCTGCTGCACTTATAAGTTTCGTTGTTATGGATTTCGGTAATCGAAAACATGACATGACAAATGTAGGCATTGCAGATGCCACTGACTTTATCAATACCTCCTTTCCCCCTTTAGATAAGAGTTTTGCTGTCGAACCATTTATTCTGTCTTGTTGTTTTTCCGCAACAAAATTGAAAATTTTTGTTTTGGCTCCCCCCAAGCTTTCAGGGAGGCCTAAATATTTTCCCATTCCTCCGATGTTATCAATTCCTGTAAGCCGTCTTAGCTCATCTTGAATTGCTACTGGGACTGTATGGCCAAATTGAATTGAAGATTTTTCAAAATTTATCTGTTGTCCAGAAACCGATTCATACTGTTTAAGTATTTGTAGAATTTTTTGGCATTCTTCCGTATTTGCTTTGCAGAAAAATAAACTATCATCCGCAAACAGTAGATGTGTAATAGCTGGGCTTGCTCTTGCTATTTTTAATCCGGTTAGAGTTTTGTCCATTTCTGCTTTTTTTATATTTGAGATTAGACCTTCCGTGCAAAGGATGAAAACATAAGGAGATAGCGGATCACCCTGGTGTAATCCCCTTTGTGGTTGTATCTGACCTCTAGGTTGACCATTCAGAAGGACCTTATATTGTACCGAAGTAATACACCACATCATCCAAGTAATCCATTTCTCCGCGAAGCCCATTTTCCTCAGTAAATTCTCAACGAATGACCACTCAACCCTATCATACGCCTTACTCATATCTGTTTTTATTGCCATATATTTTCCTTTACATGAGTTATTGGTTCGTAAACCATGGAACATCTCCTGCGCTATCAAGATATTATCTGAGATCAACCGCCCCGCCACAAAAGCCGATTGTGTTTCCGAGATAACCTTAGGCAACAATCTCTTAAGTCTTTGGCATAAAACCTTTGAGATAATTTTGTAGCTGACATTGCACAAGCTTATGGGTCGCAATTCTGTCATCCGCGTAGGTCGCTCCTTTTTTGGGATTAGACATATGTTTGTCACATTCAACCTCTTGTCAAAACTCCCCGTCTCTAGAAATTCATTTACCAAATGTACTATATCCGTCTTTACTATGTGCCAGGCCTTTTGAAAAAAGAGTGCTGTCATTCCATCTGGACCTGGCGCTTTTTCTGGATTCATCATAAAAACCGCTGCTTTTACTTCCTCCTCTGTAGCCTTTGCTGTTAGCATTTCATTTTGTTGTTCCGTGATCATTGGTGTAATTTCCTGGAGAGCCTGATCAAAATCCGTCGGATTAGTCGTAGTGAATAATCGTTCAAAATATTTAACCGCAATTTGCTCAACCCCTTTTTCTGTTAAAACCCAATCTCCTCCATCATTGTAGAGACCAATTATCCTGTTTGCTGCCCGTCGCTGTTTAACCTGCGCGTGATAAAATTTTGTGTTTCTATCCCCTACTGTTGCCCATTGGTTTCTACTTTTTTGCTGCCAATATATGTCTTCTTCTCGATATGCCTCCTTTAGTTTCTTTATTACTTCCGTTAATTCCTCCTCTGTTCGGTTATCATCAGTTTGTAGTTCCTCTAGGTCCTTTTGGAGATTATTTATTTTTTCTTTGCCAAATGGTAAAGTATTTTTCCTCCATTTGGAGATTTCTCGGCGACAATTGATGAGTTTTTCCACCACTGCCCCATTGCGTCCTGACAGGGGTATGTCCCATCCCTTTGAAATTGAGTCCATAAAGCCATCGCAACCAATCCATCGTTTATCAAACCAAAATTGTGTCCGTCTCTTCGGTATTTTGTCTTCGATTGTAGCAACTATTGGTCTATGGTCTGAGCCAATCATTGCTAGATATTCCACATACGATTGTGTAAAAAGATCATGCCAATGTTCATTTGCTAGTGCCCGGTCTAGTCTGCACCTGACAATCTTGGAATTCCGTCTTCCCCTCCATGACATTTGGTTTCCTAAACATGGGAATTCTATAAAACCACAGTCCCTTATCATTTGGTTAAATGACACAAAAGTAGAGGCACTTCGAAGATTTCCTCCTTGTTTTTCATGATTGCCACAAATTTCATTTAGATCTCCAATAATAAACCATGGTTCTGTCCTAGTTAGGCTTATCCGAGTCAGGCGTTCCCAAACCTGATCCCTTGATTTTGGCACCGGATCTCCATAAATAAAAGTCAAAAACACATTTTTTCCTTGTACCATTGCCTCAATATCAATTATCCTATTATTTGAGAATAAAATGTTGACATTAAAAGAATTATCATAGTATAAAGCAAGACCACCACTTGTACCATTCGGTTCTACCGTGTACAATTTATTATAACCAAAATGAAATTGAAACTTTTGCATAAAAGAAAAATCTTGTTTTGTTTCTGAAAGAAATAATAATTCAGGTCGGTGTTTCTTCCAAATCTCCCTAAGGTAGCTTATTGTCCAATGACTTCCGACCCCTTGGCAGTTCCAGCTAAGTACTCTCATCTACTACCTCCGATGTTGGCTTCTGCTCCATACTCGGGAGTGATGGTCCCTTAAAAGCAGTTGTTGTTGCTCCTTCCCCTTTCCGG